GCCACCTGCTGTCAGAGAGTGCGTCTCATTCAGACCTGCTGTTTTTGTTTCGTGCAGATGTTTTATGTAGCAAATAAATAAATAACATCTAAAAGTGAGACCATTCTGTTTTTGTTTTAAATCCTGAAATTAATCTAAATCAAATCAAAAACAACTGCCCGTGCAGCTCATGATTAAAATGCAGTGGGTGCCTCTAATTTCAAATGGCTAGATATTTTTGTTTAAAGCCAGTTTGTTTGTTATAAAGCAAATAGCCAATAAATACATCTGCTTAAAAATCAGTATCAGTATCCAATTTGCTAGTTTAAAAAAAAAAGAAAAGAAAGAAAAGAAAATCTGAATTCTGAATCAGCTATGATCGGCGCATCACTAATTAAAATACTAAGCAAAAGGCCTCAAATTTGAAGTACAATCTGGGATGTCTTTTTCTATCAATTCTTCAATAGGTAGATCTCGTCTTTCATAAAGGCCGAGGTCAGGGATCTTGGGCCTAAAAAGGTTGGTGACCACTGCCGTAAACTATATTGTCACCCAAGCTCTAATCTGCTAAATGCGACTATAAGGGCATAAAGATATTAAGTTATTATAAACATTAATATCAAAATTTATTGTGAAAACATACAAATACATGGACAACAAAAGTACATAATCCTGATACAAAACATTATTTCTAGGCACAAGGATATCATCAACATAATGGCTTCTTCATGAAATGTAAAACTCGCAATGAAAATTCATTCAGTGTAGAGAACAGGTGAGATGATTACTGGGGGAGAGTCTTGACCTTTATCACCTTTACTAAACAGACAAAAATATAGATGGACTTTCCCAGTGAAAGACTGAGCAGTGAAAGAGCAGATATGAGATTTGGACTCCACAACATAGAAGGAGACCAGACCCTCCTCATAATCCACAAACACCCCCACCTTCTGTGGTTTCACTCTCAGATACAGACAGACAGACGGACCAGTACAAGCCCAATATTCATTCTCATTCCTCAGAGCCACAGCCCAGAATCCATCCTGAGGACTTGCTCTGATCTTTTCCTTTCTGTTAATAGATTCTCTGGCCACTCCTAAATCCCACTGACTCTTTCCCTTCAGCTGCAAATAAAATCTACCTGAGGAGAATCCCTCTTTTCCCAGGACACCAGGATAGTGATCAAACCTCTCTTGGTTGTTTGGGAGCTTTTGTTTAATGCCAGTGACTCAGTTGTTTCCTATCATCAGATTGGGTGAGATTTGGGTCTAGGTTTTCCTGCAGTTGAGTCAGAGCTCTCCTCAGAGTCTCCACACTCACATCAGTGTTCATACAGATCTCAGGCCAGTTCTTGGTGTGTGGAGGACTGCACATGGATGGATCAATCTACAGCAGAAGAGAGGAGAAATCCCTCAGCGTGAGGAGTGTGAGTGTTGACCTGTGATGAGAGCAGACAGAGAAAAACACTGACCTGTAGGAGCTGGAGGTGATCCTCAGTGTGTAAGAGATGATCCAGCTCAGTGTTTCTCATCTTGAGCTCAGTGATTTCCTGCTGCAGCTCTTGAATGAGCTCTTCATCCTGTTTCTCTGCTGTTTTCTGCTTCTCCTCCATCATCTCCAGCAGCTCAGCCTGACATCTTTTAATGGAGCGCATCAGATCACTGAAGAGCTCAGCGCTGGCTGCTTTCTCTCGCTCTTTGCTTTTCTGAAAAATACATTATTACGTTAAAAAAATCTGATTTATTTTTTTAAGGCAAATCAAAACATTACCCATCTAATATTCAATATCCTCTCACTTTTCTGAGTTCTGCTGAGTGTTTGATGTCTTGAATCTTCTTGATTCTGTCCTGGATCATTTGCTGCACGACTTTCTGTGTCTTCATCATATATGAGTCTATAGACAAACCGGAACACACAGACACATTTAATTAATTGTTATTAAAAACAGATTATTAAAGTATTTTTTAATGTCGCTAGTTTCTCATACCATTCTCTTTTGTTTGCTTAGAGACTGAATAGAAAGACGGAAAGAAAAAGAAAGGGATTTTTTGAGAGTTATTTTGTCCTAATTAAAAACATTATGCAAACTATTTTTAACAAAAGAATTAATATTTCAATTGATAATTATTACTTCTAAAAAATATATATGTTGTCACTACCATCTTCTCTTTACTCTCCTCCTCTAGAGGAACAGTGTTGTGAGTCTTGTGGTCTCCATCAGTGCAAAACACACACACATACGTCTGATCATCTCTACAGAACAGCTCCAGAGGTCTCTCGTGTTTCTGGCATATACAGTCCTTCATATTCTCCACAGGGTCCATCAGTTTGTGTTTCTTTAAGCTAAGGACTTTCTGATGAAGATCCAGGTGAGTTTCACAGTAAGAGATCTGACACACCAGACAGGACTGCAAGGCTTTCATCTTTGTTTCTTCACAGACAACTTCAGATTTTTCTGAGTCCAACATTTAGCACAAACTGGCTGGTGTTGTCAGATATTTGATTGTATTTCCATTTACACACTGAGCAGATGCAGTGCTGACTTTCTTTCAGGCATTTTTCAGTGGAGACTGGATCAGTCAACACTTCCAGATCCACAGAACTTGGAGACTCCTCATTTACAGCACCACTGGAGGATGTCAGAGCTGAAATGTGGATTTTATAATTTAATACAGTATTTTCTCCTGGATATGAACAGAAAAAAGTGGTTAAGAGTTAAATGTTAGAATGTAAATAGTTAAATTAAACATAGGTTAGGGTTAAATTAAGATAAATGCATTATGTCAATTATACTCAGTCAATATTTCAAATGCGATAAACGTATGCAATTCTTACACATTAGGTTAATATATCAGTAAATAAAATCAAGACTTTACAGTATAGTACAAGTACAGTACAAGAACTGAAGGTGGCATCTTATTATGACTTTTTTTTGTAGTGAAATCTTTATCTATGGCAAATGTTATATTTTTCATATCACATATTTATCTCATATTTTCACATTTGCATTCCGTATGTCACAATTGCAACTCCATACAATTGCACCTTTGAATATACCATTATTACTATTTATTGACTCAACCAACATTTAAAATTGAGATAAAAGTATGTAAACTCTACACAGTTATTTAGTCCAAGAACTGAAAGTTACAATAAACAGCATCTAATCCTTTTTTTTATCTTTATCTATGGCAAATTAATTTTTTTTGTTTATCATGTTACATATCTCATATTTTCACATTTATATTTGATCTCACAATTGCAGCTTTATTTCTCATTTGACTTTATACCTCACAGTGTGAAATTATTTCATATGTTAAACTTTATCACACAATTTAAGGTGTTTTTCTTTCTCTTTTGTTTGCTTAGAGACTGAATAGAAAGACGGAAAGAAAAAGAAAGAGGGATTTTTTGAGAGTTATTTTGTCCTAATTAAAAACATTATGCAAATTATTTTTAACAAAATAATTAATATTTCAATTGATAATTATTACTTCTAAAAAATATATATGTTGTCACATCACTGGCCTAGATTAATGAAGTCGTTTTGTTCTACATGATGTGTTGCCTCATTTTGACCTCTTTTTTTCTTTTAGTTTTCTTAAGAAAATGTTATGCCAAAATTCTACTCACTTTATCACTCTGTCCTGAAATCAGGCCATTTCTACAGTGGCACCTGTAACCAAAAGCGCTCCTGTGTGAAGCTTTATTCTCACCAGGAGGTGTCAGTGTAAACCCAAGATCTCTGAACTTTGTTTTTCCCCTTGCTTAAAGCAGCACTATGTAACTTTTGGCGCTCTAGCGGTTAATAAACAGAACTGTACGCATTCCGCGGAAGAACATTCCAACCGGAGCTACTTCTCTAAGTTTAAATAGTTAAATTAAACATAGGTTAGGGTTAAATTAAGATAAATGCATTATGTCAATTATACTCAGTCAATATTTCAAATGCGATAAACGTATGCAATTCTTACACATTAGGTTAATATATCAGTAAATAAAATCAATACTTTACAGTATAGTACAAGTACAGTACAAGAACTGAAGGTGGCATCTTATTATGACTTTTTTTGTAGTGAAATCTTTATCTATGGCAAATGTTATATTTTTCATATCACATATTTATCTCATATTTTCACATTTGCATTCCGCATGTCACAATTGCAACTCCATACAATTGCACCTTTGAATATACCATTATTACTATTTATTGACTCAACCAACATTTAAAATTGAGATAAAAGTATGTAAACTCTACACAGTTATTTAGTCCAAGAACTGAAAGTTACAATAAACAGCATCTAATCCTTTTTTTTATCTTTATCTATGGCAAATTAATTTTTTTTGTTTATCATGTTACATATCTCATATTTTCACATTTATATTTGATCTCACAATTGCAGCTTTATTTCTCATTTGACTTTATACCTCACAGTGTGAAATTATTTCATATGTTAAACTTTATCACACAATTTAAGGTGTTTTTCTTTCTCTTTTGTTTGCTTAGAGACTGAATAGAAAGACGGAAAGAAAAAGAAAGGGATTTTTTGAGAGTTATTTTGTCCTAATTAAAAACATTATGCAAACTATTTTTAACAAAAGAATTAATATTTCAATTGATAATTATTACTTCTAAAAAATATATATGTTGTCACATCACTGGCCTAGATTAATGAAGTCGTTTTGTTCTACATGATGTGTTGCCTCATTTTGACCTCTTTTTTTCTTTTAGTTTTCTTAAGAAAATGTTATGCCAAAATTCTACTCACTTTATCACTCTGTCCTGAAATCAGGCCATTTCTACAGTGGCACCTGTAACCAAAAGCGCTCCTGTGTGAAGCTTTATTCTCACCAGGAGGTGTCAGTGTAAACCCAAGATCTCTGAACTTTGTTTTTCCCCTTGCTTAAAGCAGCACTATGTAACTTTTGGCGCTCTAGCGGTTAATAAACAGAACTGTACGCATTCCGCGGAAGAACATTCCAACCGGAGCTACTTCTCTAAGTTTATGTCTATGCGATTCACGCAGGTATGTGTTACTCCGCAGCGGTGACGACCCGACCAGGCTACAATAGTCCAAATATAAGTACTTATTATGAGTGTACCGTAGTATAAGTCTTATAGGAATAAGACAAAAACGCTGTTTGGAAGATGAATTCATGTTGTACTCGCTCATTATATACATTTTGCACATTTTGAACACAGAAAAAAGTTACATAGTGCTGCTTTAATACTTGGGGCCCCTGCATTCAGAAGATGGGCTCTTGCCTGCCACTAATCTAATACTGGTGCTTTTGATGATGAAATACATTCAATAACAGTTATCTCTTTCTGTTTAAGGTTTCATTTGTGCTTAATTCCTGTAAAGCTGTGGAAAGGCTTTCATACCAAAAAGTACAATTCACAAATGAACATATTTTAACAATATCACTAGAGGAAAGCATGATTCAAGTCTTCAAATGGAGCAAAACTGCACCATACTGTATCATTAAACATATCGAAGTTGTGAATTAAATCGTTTCCTCTACAGCCAATGAGGCCACAGCATATGCTCCAATCCTTTAAAGCAGATTTTATTGTCCAACTGTTTAAATTCCACCTCTTGTTCAAACGTTTGTTGGCCGCTGGTATGAATAGACCCATATGTCAGCTGACAATCCTCTTTCAGATGTTACTGAACAAATGCAGTGGAGATTTATAGAAGGCTATTGATATCAGCTTTCATTATTCCTTCTTTAAAATGATTAGGGAAAATAGCTTTTTCTTAAGGACAGCAGAATGTTTTTGCTTAAGTTTGTCATGTTCAATAAACCATATTTTAATACATGCAGACACTGAGTACATTCTTCGACTACTCTTGTAGAATTAAATGACTGTAAAGTGTTATTCAGAAAGCAACCTACAGTGCATCTGGATCTGCCTGTGCAATGAATTAATTTTCCCTCCTGTTTTTATTTTACTTTAAGCCTCGCTCTGAAAAGCTGCTCTTTTTCTATTATTGAGCTTAAACCAATCTCATCGAGGAGAGGGAAGAATGACAAAATGCATCATGAATGAATCCACATCCCCCTCGCCGCTTAAGACAAAAGGCTTCGATCTTGCTGTCCTGTCGGTAACAAGGTGACCACGGTGAGCTCTAGAGATGCCGGCGGAGTATAGTCTGTTAATTACCACTGAGTGGAATCAAAATAGCCTCCTATTGTCCCGTCTTAGTGGGGGTTTATGGCAGCCTGCGGAGGAGAGATGGCTTTGTGTAGGCCGCTGTCATACACACATGTTGAGTCATTGTGGCCTGACTTCGATCGGATGAACGTATGTAGGAAATGCGATTGAGGCCATGCTGAGGTTCAGGGGAGGGTTGTCATTCACAGTGTCATTAAAAACACTTTTTAAAGCTATACTGTTAAATGTCAAAACAGCTTGATATGTGGACGTGAATTCTTGAAGTCATACATTTGACTTCTATGATGATTCTAAGAAATAGAAGGTAAGTGTTTACAGATAGACACTAGCTTGTAGTAACTTAAGCGTATGTAAGTGCATTTAACTTTTTAACATCTTTTGACTGACGACTGTCTTTACAGGTGGCACATTCAAAAAGGTTATTTAAAGCCGTGCCAAACAAACATAAATAATGAATTAATAATACTGTTACAATGAAAACAAATGAATAAATAAATAATAAATAAATAAATGCTTGAATGAATTATTTAATTAATTAATGCAAAATTAAGCTTATTGATTTTAAATGTTTAGCTGTTGACAATTTAAAAAAAAAACTAGAATTAAGTTTTAAATTTAATTTTTAATTTTTAAAAACTAGAATTTGAAGTAAAATGTATTTAAATCACAACAGAAAATTTGAATGTCTATTATACAGTTGGTTCCTAAAAAACCCTTACATGAATGAATGAATTAATTAATTAATTAATGAAAAAAGTAGGTCTATAGGTCAATTTTGGCATGCTTTGATGTTAAAGAAATATTTTTCTTTTTATATAAATTTAAATTTATGAAAAATTTGTTATACCATGGGTTCTAAAAGTTTATGATCACGAGTAAAAATGCAAAAAAGTATCTGTTATTTAAAAAATATATAACCAGCAAAACCATTTGAGTGAAAAGTGTATATATATATATATATATATATATATATATATATAAAACCTGAATAGTGATCTTGAAATTAGTGACCTAAATATTTCATATTCATGTTATGCTATAACATTTGTTTAAAATGTTTTGAAACCCTAAAACCTAGTTTATTTCTAGGTTTAAATTAGATTATCTCAAAATATTTAATGTAGCATTTTCACAGCAAAAGTATTAAAAGCCTCCAAACGTTTTAACCATAAGATCTTTAAGTAAAAAAAATGGATGTCTAATCCAGAATCCACAGAACCAGGAGGCCTAATGCCCCACTGCAGTGCAATATGTCCCATATCCTGGCCAATTGAAACCTGCCCACTG